TCTTAGTGAACGTTATAAGTCAGATTTCAAAAAATATTACGCAGGAACCGGTTCCCCTATTGGTACAACCCGGTTCCTGGCACAAAAACCAGGGACATGTTTTTTGAGAAAGTATGGAACCCGGTTCCTTGTTAGGGAGGAACCGGTTCCTAAAGGGTTATTTTCAAAAATACTTTTTGAAAAATATTTCAAACAAAGTTTTTCTTGATGTTAAAATTATGGGATATGTATATGTTGATGAATGCATATTTTTGTGAACATGTATATTCAAGATTAAGAATTATTTATACCATATTGACATTTGATGATTCTTCAATAATTCTTCTATAATCTTCAAGACTTTTATATGATGTTGATAAGCTTTTTGCACATCCTTTGAATGTTGATGTCCTTGTTGTCTTCATCAAAGCAAATGCTTTAAATATGACTTGAGAAGCTTGCAATTACAATTTGGACTTTTAATGCCCCATATAGTTTCCATGGATCATATTGGGCTCTCAAGCATCAGGTCGAAGATGGAACTTCTGAATCCTTGAAAGGAGGAAGAAGAAACTGTCGAAAGGGCAAAGTAGATAAAAAAAAGGCGTGCAACTGCAGATAACAATTCGAATTCAAAATCTGGTTCAGGCTGTTCGAACCACATGACTAATCGAAAAGGAGTGGTGGGAAGATTTTGACAAATTGAAGAAGAGAAAGCTTGCTTCGATCCACAAGCTTCGATTGGGCAATGGTTTCCTTCGAGCAACCTGCTTCGATCCACCTCTAAACCTGCTTCAATCCACATACTAAACCCTTCGACATACATAGTTTCGACACTATGAATTATAAGTATGTTTTCATGTTTGCTTCGATCCATAAGCTTCGGCTGGGAAATGGCTTCCTTCGAGCAACCTGCTTCGATCCACCTCTAAACCCTTCGACACACATAGTTTTGACACTATGAATTTTAAGTCTATCTTCATGCTTGCTTCGATCCACAAGCTTCGACTGAGCAATGGCTTCCTTCGAGCAACCTGCTTTGATCCACCTCTAAATACTTCGACACACATAGTTTTGACACTATGAATTACAATTTAACAAAAAAACTTGCTGATAATAGTTCATTGCAAGACAATTATCAATTCGACAGAAGTTCAATGTTTGAAAACTGTTAGACCACAAGTATAGTTGGTTGTGGAATTTGAAGTTTAGACATTTGAAATTTCAACCACTTAATCAACTGATTACTCAAGATATGGTTTTCCAAGTCTTGAGATGCCTGAAAAAACTTTGTGAAGTTTATTTAGTAGGAAAGCAATCCAGAAATTATTTTGTTTCGAATATGCCAATGAGATCATCTTGCATAATCAAGGTGGTACGTTCAGATGAATGTGGTCCATTCGAAGAACATACAATTGGTGGAAACAAATATTGTTTTGTCTGTTGATGAGTTTGGTCGAAGGTTGTGGATCTATGTGATCAAAACGAAAGGACGAAGTAAGTGGTACATTCAGATGAATGTGGTCCATTCGAAGAACCTACAATTGGTGGAAACAAATTTTGTTTTGTCTGTTGATGAATTTGGTCGAAAGTTGTGGATCTATGTGATCAAAATGAAGGGACATAGTATTCGACCAGAGTAAAGAAAAAGATCAAAGTTCTACAGAGATTCAAGATATTTGTAGAAGGAATCAAGTCGAAGACAGAATTTTGAAGAACATTGATCAAATCCATAGGCCATGCTACATGATCTTGATTTGCAGGCCTCAATGCTTGTGTTTCACTCCATAATTAATTGTTTACACAATGAATTAAGCTCTTACCCAAGTTATTAAGCCATTGTCTAAAAGATCTTTCCATAAAGTAAGCTTGTTGGTACAAAATGTGTCTTGATCCCATACCTTACTTACTTCTGATTATACTCCACCATAAATCATGGAAAGTAGCCCCTCTATACAAACAACTTTGGTACTTCATCTTGGGATCATAGAAAACTTGACATAACTTGATATTTGTATTCCAACCAAACCATAATTTGTTATCTTGCAAATTTGATTACTTCAACTTCCCAAACCTTTTCTCTATAAATGGAGAGACCATTTGCGAGCTAAAGGAGCCAGATTCTTGTGTGTTGAAAAATCCTCAAACACTCCCGAACTCTCAAAACCTGCACACAAGCACAAAACTTGGCACATTTTAACTTTACACACAAAATCTCAAATTCCTTTGTGCATTTTTGGGCCTTTCGATTCACTAAGCTTCCATACACTACATAGGAACTATCCCAGCCCTTAAACCACTTTTGTAACCCCTCCTTCCTCATCCACCATTTTCAAAAATCCATCATTGTAGCTTGACTTGTCCAGAACAGTTGGGCAAGCTACATGATATTCTAGCAATTGGAGTAGCTTCCGGGAGGTCCAGGAAAGCTTAATACATCATCAAACAATTTCTAGAATTCATGTAGAAGTCCTTTGAATTTCACTCTAAGAGGTAAGTTTTTCAAAGTTGGAACTCTTCATTCAAGCATCATTTGTATATACATTGTGAAGAAAAGATGTAGATATCATGTCCAGGAAGCTGACCATGTCCATACTTTTGATTATTTTTGCTTGTACATTGAGAATTTCTTCTCTAATCAGTTAGGTTTTAGTTTTAGTACTGAACAAAATTCATGCTAACCTTCGACCCATAACTTTTGAAAATTATGTGGTTAGATTCGTATTCAAATTTTAGGCAGGTTTGATATTTACAAATTTCGATTTGGCTGAGAAATGAAGCTTTTAGAAGCTTGACAATGGAGTTATCATGGCCTGCGCACGGAGGAAGAAGATGAAGCCATGTTCAAATTTTCAGAAATGAGTTCATTTTATATTTAGTTCAAGTTGTATAACTAACGGATGGAACAGACCATCCCAGTGGTACAAACAGCGCACACTAAAGCCTTGCCATGTAGAAAGTCCTGGATTCGAGCCCCAACGAGACCTTTTGTTATTTTTTCCAAATTTTCTCACTTTTTTTTGTTTGCAGGATGCACGCCTGAGCCTCCATTGGCTGAGCCTTGACATTTCCATTTTCTGAAACCCCCTGACGTTAATGTTATATCTTTAACTCATCTTCTTTACTTTATTATTGTTATCATTATAATTATTTTTATTAATCAAAAACACCAAAAATATATTATTTAGTTTATTTTTATTTAACTTCTTACAATGAAAAAGACCAAAAACATTTTCCTATTTATTTTCTTTTCTTTAACTTAACATTAATTTTTTCTTTAGTTTAATTAAATTTCCTTTTAGTTAAATAGGCCAAAATCTTTCTTTAACAAAATCAAAACAAATTCATTTTCTTTTCATTCATGTCTTGTACATTATATTCCTTTCAATTATTGTACATTATTCAAGTTTTAATATGGTTGTAATAGATAATTAGGTTTAATTTCTTGCAATCCCTATTTGTAAATTTGTACACCCCATCCCCAAAATGGTTGTAATAGCATAGTAAATTTATTTTCCTCAATTTATCACTTTCATATCAATGCTAGTAAATTAGGGTTTGTATGGAAAGATAAAATCAATACTTAGAAAACCCTAATTCAAGACAAAATCAAGCATGAAATACAAACACTTGCACACTTGCACCTCTAGGGTTAACTCCACTTGTTTCCTTATGAAAAATGGTCATGTTATACATGTGAGACGTCTTAGCAAAAACAATCAAAAATACAAGATCATAGTCCCTCGATGACGCTTCAAATGTTGCCTTATAAATGATCTTAGTCCCTCAAGAAAAATGTTGAGATATCTCACAACATTGCTATTCATGACTATACGATGACCCACGTCCGTCCCTTTACATCCAAAGATAAGGCTTCTTACCAATCAATGGTAAGATAGCAATATCAAAGGAAGGAAGAAATGAACAAAAGACTTTTGAGTAGGTAGAACGTTCTTAGTTGCTTGCTCACAATCCATCTTCAAAATATCTTTTCAAACACACCAAACACTTTCAAAACATGAAATATTTTCAAAATTCCAACACTTTGTATGCATTCTTATAGAGACGAGAGTCATTACAAAGTTTGCCTAAACGAATGCGTTTTTCAAAAATACTTTCAAAACCCACCAAAACACATTTCAAACAAAGAAATTTCAAAAGTGATCTAGCAAGCAACTAAGAGCCCATAGATAACTATGGATGAAAATGGTGCTAACACCTTACCTTTTCATAATCTACCCCCCGAACTCAAGAAAATATCTCAAAGGCCTTTCCTGTTCTTTTCACCCTTTCCTCATTGGATAAAATAAAAGTCGGTGGCGACTCTTGCTATTCGCAACAATTGCGATAAAACGCAAAACAACCAAGTCAGTTCTCCCACCGTATTACAGTCGCGAAGTATAGAGGGACTTTATCTAGGTCGGGGAAGTAGAAGTCCTCGGGCCTGGTGATGCTCAGGGCGACGGGCATGAGGCTCGCGTCGGGGGAAGGCTTCTCTTCTTCCACTTTATTGGATTCTTGGGCGTCTTCGCAGGCACCTTCCTTCTTTTTATACTGTTTGGAATGCACATCTCGAATGAGTATCTCGATGACATCCTTCAGGTGGATGCAATCATCTGTATTATGTCTGTGACTTTTATGAAACTTACATCCTCAATCACGCCCGTCCCGCCTCATTCCGTCCTATTTTTTTTACTGATTTTTATGGAACAGGACTAAATAGAGCGAACATACTTGTTTGTCGTTCCATAGACTTAATTTCATATGTAAAATTTTGGCTTTTAACATTTTTTACGCTCAGTAAAAAAAAGTTACTTAGTATATTGTAGAAAATTATACGCTGAAAAAAAAAAATCTCTCTTAAAACATTTGGTTTTAAGCTCGGAGTCGGCATAGTTAATTTCATAATGTAGAATTGGCTCTAACATTTTCTATGCTCCGTCCATAAAATAGTTTCATAGTGATTGATTCATTTTCCTCCATTTCATTGTTCAGTTATGTGAAACGAAGTGAAGATTACGATGAATGGCATGGGTGTCTTCACAGATAGAGTCGTAACGGTGCTAAAAACTTTTTGCCGTTCTCAAAGTCACGTTAAACAAATTCAAGCCCAAATCATAGTTCACAACCTTCAGTCAAACACCACAATCGCATACAACTTCATCACCGCGTCTCAATCTCACAATCTTCTCATCTCAGTTCTACCTCTCTTCACTCTCCTCATTCCAAAACCCCATCTTTTCATCTTCAACTCTCTCATCAGAGCTTTCTCCCATTCCCACATCCCCAACACCCCTCTCTCTTTATACTCCCACATGCACAAAAACTCAATCCACCCCAACTATTTCACGTTCCCTTTCCTCTTTAAGTCACTTTCCGACTCGCGTTGTTTCGTTCAGTCCCAATGTGTGTACACCCATGTTGTGAAACTTGGTTATGGTAACGATGTTTATGTTAGTAACTCGCTTCTTGATGTGTATGCGTCGTGTGGCTATGTTCAACTTTGTCGGCAACTGTTTGATGAAATGCCGCACAGAGATGTTGTGTCTTGGACTGTTTTGATTATGGGTTATCGGTTTAGTGGGAGGTTTGATGATGCGTTGCTTGTGTTTGAACAGATGCAGTATGCGGGTGTGGTTCCGAATCGGGTTACCATGGTGAATGCGTTGGCTGCTTGTGCTAGCTCTGGTTCTATTGAAATGGGGATTTGGATACATGATATGATAAACAGAAATGGGTGGGAACTGGATGTGATTTTGGGGACGGCGTTGATTGATATGTATGTGAAATGTGGGAGAGTGGGAGATGGGTTGAGAGTTTTTAATTATATGAAGGAGAGGAATGTGTTTACTTGGAATGCTGTTATTAAAGGGCTAGCTTTGGCTAAGAGTGGTGAGGAGGCGATTTTGTGGTTTAATAGGATGGAGTTTGGTGGAGTTAGAGCTGATGAAGTTACTTTGGTTGCGATTCTTTCAGCGTGTAGTCATTCGGGTTTGGTGGATAAGGGTCGATTGATATTTAGTATGTTGGTTGATGGGAAGTATGGATTTTGTCCTAATGTTAAACATTATGCTTGTATGGTTGATCTCTTGGCACGTGCTGGTCAATTGCAAGAGGCTTTTGAGATCATGAGATGTATGCCTTTTGAGCCGACAAAAGCTATGTGGGGATCGTTGTTGATTGGTTCAAAATCTCAGGGGAACTTTGAGTTCAGCGAGTTTGTTGCTAGGAAGCTAGTTGAGATGGAGCCGGATAACACTGCCTATTATGTTCAGCTGTCAAATCTATATGCAGAGTCGGGAAGATGGAGCGATGTTGAGAGAGTAAGGGGAATGATGAAAGAGAGAGATCTGATTAAGGACTTGGGTTGTAGTTCTGTGGAGGTTGAACACCAAAGGCCTGCCGGTGAAGTTTTGGCAATGTAACTTACTCTCCTAACATTTTCATGAAACTTGTAAGCTGAGATGGAATGCTTGTCTCTCCCTCTAAAGTTGGTGTTCAAGGAACACCGCCAAGTTAGCTGTTACTTCTGTTAGGGGGCTGCTGTGTTACGATATGTATATCTTGATGGATATTGGTGGTTATGTCCAGTGATATTTGAAGAATGGTACGAATGATTGTTCAGGTAATTTTAGTTTCAAAAACCTCTTGATGATTTAGTTTGTCAACATTTACTTAGAAAGTAGACCATGTGCAAGTCAGTATTCCTGCAGAGCATTGGTATTTCGAGGTTTAGTGTGTTGAGGTTAAGGTTCGATTGATCTTTAATACTCCACGTAGGTTGATGGAAAGTATAGATTTTGTCCTAATGTTAAACACTTTGCTTTTATGTTTGATCTCCTGACACATGCCCGTTGGTTGCAAGAGGTTTTTGAGCGAAAGCAAAGCTATGTGGGGATCGTTGTTGGTTTGTTACAAATCTCAGGGTGACTTTGAATTCAGCAACTTGGCAGCTAATAAATTAGTTGAGATGGAGCCCGATAACACTGCTTATTATGTTCAGCTGTCGAATTTGTATGCAGAGGCAGGGAGATGAAAGAGAGAGAGAGTAAGGGGAATGATGAAAAAGAGACAACTAGTTTTACAAAAATAGCCAGTTGAGCAATCATTTGAGATGTTATTTAAGTTTACAAAAAGACCTTCAATAATTCAACTCTTGTCGTTGTGGACAAAAATATGATGGCTTCATATGCTACATGATATAGAATTTAACAGTTGAGATGATTGTCCATATACGGCTGTATCTTTGATCAGATGATAACATTGCAGCTTGAATTGTGTGGGATCATTTGAGCTTGGATATTCTGCATGTTTTCCCACTCAGCCTTGGATATATGATATATGTTGATGGAATTCATATTGCATACATTCTCTCTGATTTTATTTTGATTACAATTACCTTATGAGAAATTTGATGGAAATACTTATATTTGATGAAATAAAAAAGGGAAAAACTAATGAAATGGTCAAGTGCAATTGCAGATCATGCTCATGATTTGTCTCCATGTTTGAGAATAAGCATACAGTGTAAAAGCATATGATTGTGTAAAATATGTAGACAACCAAGAATTAAATTGTAATGAAAAAAAGTTTTTCATTAAACAGCATTTTATAGGAGTTAGAAGGGCTTTTCATCCTGCTAGAGGTGTTCATCTATTGAAGTTAAGCATCGAGCCATGTTTGATAATAACGATAAAAAAATTGTATTTTGAAAGGAATGACAAACTGTAAGGAAAGTGAGTGCATGCTATACCAGAGCTTTCAATATAAAAATTAGTGTATATAATTACAATATTACAATTGAAGCAACAAGGTCAAACCAGAGTTTACAATACTGCGTTACTTCAACCTCCCATCTATTTACTAATTACACTCGTCTATTTCTACTATTATTCCACGGTGAGAATTCCTGTAGAACAACCCTGACTAAAAGATAAGCGTCAAACACTACAGGATTTTATTTCATCTCACAAGGCTGTTTCTGACATTAAAATGTTATGAAATTCAAGCTGGGTCATTTCACCTCCTTGCGCTGGATCGAATTGGCATTTATAGAAGCTGCACAGAATAACCAATTGCAAATCATTAACATCATATAACATAAAGTTCACCTTTTTTTTTTGAAGTTTTTTCTTCAACATTTTCCATATTACATTTAATCTTAAAATTAGAAAGTATGACAAAATAGCAGCAAACATAACAAATATAGCGGTGTTTCTTCAAATCCTTAACTCAGTAATACTAATACTACTTGAAAGGAATAACATTATCAACTGTTTTTACTATCAACTAAAACTTAACAACAAGACATATTATTTCTCACTTCCTCATATTATACCATCCATCCATGCCAAGAATTATGACTGTATTCTTTTCGACACCAAATGCAACTGTGTACTGGGTGCCCTCGTGTAAGTGAAACCGAGCAACTGACCACTCTGAATTGAAATACTTGGGCAACACTCCTGCAAGAGCATAGTAACATTCAAGCAACACGAACAAAAGATAATTAACAACTATTTCGCTTTGTAGCTGAGAAAAAAAATAGATCATAAAACCAAAACATGATCAATAACTCCAACACATTCTACTCAAGTTGATAACAATTAAAACAGCAAGAAAATTTGCCTTTAAATTTAATGAAGGAGCGAGACGAGCTAGATGGAGCAATGACGGCATCAGAACTCGACGATCCATGGGAGTTTTCATTCTCAGGAGCATTGGGATTAACCTTAAGGCCAAAAACATGGACAGTACCCTTGTCACTGGAAACTGCTAACCACTGAGCAGTGGAAGAAAACGCCAAACTAAATATCTCTGCCGCATTTGCACCTCTTCTTACCTAAAATCAACATCCAATAAACTTATGCAAGAAAGCCAAAATGTCTCAAATATCAATTGCCCACATATCAAATTCAAATCTTCAAAGCATAAAACATTAATAAACCAACAAACATATACATTAAACCTTAATTGTATCTAATCCAAATAAAGAAACATGATTAACAACAACTATTGACAAACATAGCACATACTTCCTGAAGTAGCGTGCCAAGATCGGCATCATAAATCCGAATCAGGGTACCCTTGGTGCTTGCAGTGGCTACAAATTGTCCATCAAGCGTAAGAGCGAAGCAAGCTATTCTCGAATCATGAGCAGAAATAAACTTAGTCCTCTTCTGCGAAAAATGCTCAATGCGAATCTGGCCTTTATGCAAACCAGGGCAAGCGAGAACAAGAGCATCACTCAAGTGTGAAACTTCACAAAGCCCCTTAGGGTTGGCAATCGTTTCAATCTGATGCAACAGCTTCAAGTCAGCAAAATTATACACAAATATCTTCTGCTCCACCACGACAATTATCCGATCCCGCCGAAGCCGAACACCGCTAACAGGAGACCGAAACGAAAGCTCCCCGATGCACGTACCTTGATGATCATCCCAGATCATGACTTTGGTGGGAGGGTACTGAGGTTGAGACCCACCGCCGACAAGTGCTAATATGTTACATCGGAAAAGCATTTCCACACGGCCGATTCCTCCGCCGCCGAACTCCCGGCGGAAAAGCTCCCGGAAAGGGTCGCAGTTGTATATGCGAAAGCCGTTATCAGTGGCGGCGGCGAAGCAGGCGTGGTCCTGGTTAAAGGAGAGATGAAGTAGCGACGGCGGTGTGGTGGGCGGAGATTCCGGTGAATCGGTGGAAGCATGGTGAGATTGGGGGGACATTAGGGAATCGAAGTCAAGGGTTTGAGATTGATCGGGATGGAAATTAGGGTTTGGAATTGAATTGAGATTAGGGTTTGGCCAAGGGGGTGAAGGGGAAGCAGGAAGAGTGGCCATTGAAATGGAAAATTGATTCGAAGCTTCGTTCTCCCGCTAAGGAAGAAAAATTAATGCTATTTTGTTCTGTTAGTTACCACGAAGAAGATTTAAACAAATGGAAGAAAAAAATAAACCAAAAATCTCGCCGCTGCCGGGGACCGAACCCGAGTGACAGGCGGAACCAAATTACTTAGTAAACCACTTTTATCATTAGTAGTATTCTTAACTTATGGAAAAAAACGTTCCTAAGGGGTCTCGAACCCAAAACTTCACGTATATTACACACACCCTATCCATTACACCATCTATCTATTCATTATTTCTAATGCAAACAATTACTATAAGAAAGAAAAATGGATAGTTGAATGCGTCAGCAGCCCAATGGGCTGACCCGGTTGGGGATTTAGAACAAAGAAAAATTTCTTAGAACCCTAAAGGGAAGGGTGCGCCGCTAGAACATTATCTCCTTCTTCTTTCAGTTTTGTTTCTCACGATTTTCCTCAAAAATGAAACAACAACAAAATATGCTGCCTCACTCTTGGATCACGTTCTCCACTCCCTCAATCTCTCTCGCGACATGCTCCATGCCTCTCTCTCAAAACATGCTTTCACGATAAAAGCAAAAACCCTAACCCTTTTTCTGGTTTTCGAATGAAAAATTGCAAGCAGAAATAGAATCAAAGTGACTAGTACAAGGAATTTACCTGCCGGAGTCACTTCGGTAGTGTTTCACAGATGAGAAAATTGAAGATATTCGACAGAAGGTAATAACACGCTTCTGGAATCTCCTTCTTCCTCTTCTTTTTCGTTTATGTTATTCTACTTCTAAGGGCGTATTGTGTGCGTTTTGCAGATCTAAAATCGTGGTGTAGGCTTGCAGTTTCTGCAGTTTGAGTGATTGTGGGTTTGAGAGATGGCTTGGTTGGTTTATATATTGTCTTGGCCTTTGCTGGTTTTTGCTGTTTGCTGATCTTACAGTGAGGTTTGGTTTTGTATTGTTTTAGTTTTTTTATGGCTTCTGATCTTACAGTGAGGTTTGGTTTTGTATATTGTCTGGCCTTTGCTGGTTTTTGCTGTTTACTGATCTTAGTGAGGTTTGATTTTGTATTGTTTTAGTTTTTTGATGGCTTCTGATCTTACAGTGAGGTTTGGTTTTCTATATTGCCTGGCCTCTGCTGGTTTTTGTTGTTTGCTGATCTTACAGTGAGGTTTGGTTTTGTATTGTTTTAGTTTTTTGATGGCTTTTGATCTTACAGTGAGGTTTGGTTTTGTATATTTCCTGGGCTCTGCTGGTTTGTGAAACAGCAATTGGTATTATAATGACAACAGGGTGAAATGTGGGGGGAAAACCTTAGGGTTTGAATATTTTCTGATATGCTAACTTTGAAATCTTAAGGTGCAGGCCTTAAGTTGCCTCTTTTGTGCAACATTTGGGCTGAGTCTGAGCAGAGCTGACTTTGGAATTTAGCAGGATTTTGGATTGCATTGGTTTGTGGTGATATCTCTTTCATCTTTCCTCTATAAAAGCAGTTTTTTGCTTATTTTTTAAAATTCGGAAGGGTTTGCAGCATCAGAAAATGATGATGCATTTTGTTTGTTGAGTAAGCTTGCCATGTTGTTTTGCTGTGATACTTGTTTGCAGGCTTGCCCTGCTGCTCTGTTGGTTGCAGGTTCATTGGCTTATGTACTTGGCAGCTTGCTTGCTTGTTGTAGGTTTGTAGCATGCTTTTGCTGCTATATTTACAGCAGCTGCTGCATATATTTGTTGCAGGTTTTGGACAGCCTGCCTTTTGTTTGGACCCTGCTGTGATATTTTGTTGATGTTTTGACAGCCTTGGGCTTGCTTGCTGTTTTGGTTGGCTTTGCAGGCTTTGGGCAGCATGTTTGCTGCTATATGGCTGCCTTGCTTTATTGACTTGCTTGCTGCAAATGTAATGCAGCCCTGTTTTGTTTGGACTGTTGCAGTAGCTTGTTTCTCATTTGTTTTGCAGTTTTTGACTTTGCCTTTGTAATGCTTGCAAATTTCTCTTTCCCTTTTTTGTGAATCAAGAAGGGCAACCTTTTTTTGTGATTTGCAATTGGGGCAAATGGATTGTGATAAAACAAACAAACATTCTGATTCCAAGTTGTAAACCCTAATGATGAATTATTCTTTTCACATATTACTTCACTTTGAATTTTTTGCTAACTTTTATTTTCTTGTTTCATGAACGACAAGCGAGACTTGGATGCAAACATTGGTTGGTGTAAGTCTCAGAGTGCCTAAGAGGGGGGGGGGGGGGGGGGGGGGGTGAATTAGGTCTTATAAAATTTATTCGGTTTTATGAGAATGCTTGTAGTAATTTTTTGGTTAAGTGTTTGAAGGTTTTGATTATATCTTATCTTTTCCTTGATTATGGTGATGAAAGCGATAAATGCGGAAAAGTAAAGAACACAGCGATATATCCTGGTTCCCCTCACAGTCCGAGAGTACTCCAGTCCCCTTTCCAACACGGAAGAGATTTCACTATAGTTAGAATGATTGTACAGCCTATGCTTACTATCTAACCTATAGGGTGATCAAAGGTTCTTAACACCTTTAAGACCAAACAAACACTAATGTGAATGAAGAACAATCCTCTTCAAATCACAACACTTACTTCCAACAATCCTGGATAGTAAGGGAATAATTTCTTTAAGTAATACAATGATTTATTTGAAATAGATGGATAGCACTATCAATCTTCAATTGATCTTCTTCTTCAAGATAAAAACAATTCTCAAACAATGTATATAAATGTTCACAATGTATGTATAAAACTTGTAATGATTTAATGAAAGTGTATATGGCAAGTTTCAAAAAATTATGAACACATGAAAGTATGAATTCAAATGTGAATGAGAAGAAATTGTTTATTGAAGAAGTATATTTGTTAATTTGAAAATTGAAGCATTCTTTTTTTGAAATAAGAAAATCTGCAGCATTTTATAAAGTTACAAGAACCTCTTCATTCATGCCAATTCATATGAAAAGTTGCAATGCATTCATGAAAGAGTACTACTTGAAAAACGTTTAAAAACAAAAGAAAAGCTGCACTGGTTCGCTAGGAACCGGTTCCGACACTGACAGAACCCGG